ATGGATCTTTTTTAGTACCTTTTGACTATCATTTTATTTTACCTTAATTACACAGATCTCTCATCTTTTTAAAAAAATATAATTTAGTTCAATCCATTAAATTTGTTAACAATATTATAAAAAGATTCTAAGAACTTATTTTAAAATTAAAATTTATATCAAAACAAATTTTGTCTACTAATCTACCCATCACCCTAATAAATCCTAAATTATATTATTTTGATATAAAAACATGTTTAAAAATTTTAAATTTTAAATTTAAATTATTTATATAATCTCTTAAACTCATATCATTTTATATTATGTGATGAACAAAAATATATTTTTTAGCAATTTTTAAAAAAATAAATAAATAATTTTCTATAAATTTGATAAAACTTAAAATAATAAAATTTTATAATATGATAAAAATTAATAAATTTTATAATAAAAATTTGAATTGTGTTTATTATATTATTTATTTTTTTGAAAAATATAGATTTTTAGAAAATTATTATGTTAAAGAGAGGCATTTTAGTCAAATTAAAAGTTTAAAAGTCAAACTTTATGGTAAACTAATAGTTAGATAAATGGAAATGAAATCTCAAATTATGTAACATATTTTAATTTTAAGGGAGATTTATATTGGTTTTCAAGATAGAGGGGATGTTTGTGTAATTAAATCATAATATAAGGGTGCTTGATGTATTTTACTCTAATTTATATTTTGGGTTGCACGAGGGTGAATTCAACCTTAATTAAATTAGGACTAATTAGTTGAGAGATAATTAGGATGCTTTAATAATAATTGTCACTATAATTGCAAAGACTCAACTCAAAAATTGAAATTTAATAATTCAAGTAGGTGAAATTCAATTCCCAGCACTCTTTTTTGATTGGATCAACATTTGTTTATTTTATTATTAGTTTTTTTTATAAAATTGTTATTTTCATTCAATTTTCATATTGTGTTTGGACTAAATTTAATTAGATTAGTAAAGCTAAGCCTTCTTGTGGGTTTGACATTTAAAATATTCTAAATAATATATTACTACAATTTTATATACTTGTGGGAGAGATCAAGTAACCATAAAAAAGATGTCAATTTACATGAAAATTTTCTTTAATTAATTTTCAACGTGGGAAGAAGCCGTCAACGTTTGAATTAGTAAGATCTGGACTAAAACAACCTTGGACTCCAAGCTTAATTTTGAGTGTCTCATGTAAGCATATTAAATCATCTGATTAAAGCTCAAATATAATTTATTAGTCTTTTGTCTTTGTTCGCAGTCGCACAAACTTATCATTCACTAGTGATTATAATCCCAGTGAAAATAATCAAAACTAGGGATTTTAGAATGAAAAACTTTGAAAATTGATTTTGTCAAAAATTTATAGTAAAAGATTTGCATTTGATTTTAATTTTATAGAGGAGCTGACTTTCCTTTGATGCGTGCTTTTGGATTTGATAATAAATTGAATTAGACCACGGTAGTTTTAAATTGTTGATAATAAAATTTGACATGACTTTATCCAATTAATAGCCAACTATATATACTTTATCCCAAAAATAAAACACTCAATTATTAATGATAGCACAACTAAATTAAACATCAAACCCAAAAAAGCAAAGAAGATGAAATCCCATTAACCAACTGATCCGATCCTTTGCTCTTTCAAAGAGGCTAAGTTGCAGCGACATTCAGGTGAAAAATGTAAAAATGTTATCAAGAGATAGAATCAGCAGCTTAAATTTTTTTTAATTAATTAGTTGTGGATTTGTTTGTTGTGACGTAAATTAAATGTAGATATCATCTCACAGACATAAAAATGAGGAAATGATAATTAGAGAACCCACAAAAACATTAATGACAATTGTAGACCCTCAATAATTAGAATTCAATTAAGTGACAATGGTCCTTAATTGCAATTAAAATGTATATTAATTTACAAAATTGCTCTCACAAGCAAATGCATAAAATAGCTGATTGAACATCGAATTCAGTTGTGAAATTTTGCAAAGTCACTTGAGATTTGTTGGAGAATCAGTTATAAATTATAAGTCAATTAATTGTAAATTTTTACACTTATCAATATACAAATAAATCATCTGATAAATTAAGGGAAGCAACGTGTGATTCTTAGAAAAATAAGTTAAAAATTTATTAAAGTTTGTTGTAAATTTTGTTTAGTAAATTTTAGGATTGACGAGTCAGTACATATATATACTCATTTGTAAAATTTTACAAAGCCATTTGGAATCGATGGAGAGATAGCTATGAATATATGACAGTAAGTAGTGAATTTCAAACAAATTACTTGTAATTTTTTGTTGTCAATATTTACAAATGATTAATTTAAGATTCATAACTGAGCGTCATATATTTACACAACTGATTCTCCAATGAATTTCTAGTGACTTTTCAAAATTTCACAGATGACTTAAATGTTTAATTAGCCTTTTTTTTTCCCATTTGTTCATAAGAGTACTTTTGTTACCTCGTACATTTTTAATTACAAATAATGACCAAGGTCCCTTAATGGGATCTCAATTATTCGAGGCCTGAAGTTAGGATTAATATTTATTAAAAATCTACAATTGTCATTTTTTCCTGAAAAAAGTTGTCAAAATTTCATGCAGACGAATTATTTTAGTCCCCGACCAAAGCAGTGGCCTTTTTGCTTTAGCAAAGGCAAGTCATAACCTTCTGTCAGTGATGAAAAATTCAAAGCGATATCAGATAAACTAAAAAAGAAAAAAAAAGTCAGCGGCTAAAAAATGGATGATGACCAAAACAAATATTGACACAACATATTTGTTTGTGATATAAAATGGAAAAAAACAAGAAAAAAGATTCAATATGTTTTAAAATTTTAATATAAATATTGAAGATAAAAAAATCACGCTATAAATGTCGCCCTTTAGAGAAATTTTTAAGTAATCCACGAGCACCCTCTCATTTATAATTTATTTAATAAAAATATAATAAATATTAAATAAAATTTAATTATAATATTAATAATAGTAGAAAGAGAAAATGTAAAAAATTAAATATGTATTTTATTATAGGAATAAAATTAATTAAAAAAAATATCACACAAGATTTTATTTAAATTATTTTAATTGGACAAATTATAAAAGATGTGACGCATTTGATCTATTTAAGTATTTTTCAATAGGTTATATGCCCGTTCTCAAACTAGCATGGAATGTCAATTTTAACCAGTGTAAAAATACACACACACTAAGTGAAATAAGTAAATATTTAAAAGGACCAAGTAATCCCATGTGTCATATATATATATATATGTGTGTGTGGGCGCGCGCGCGCGCTGTGAGCAATTCCCGCAAAGCTAACAGCTTAGTGTAAATCATGATGAACTTGTTAGGTGTACAAATTAACAAACACGGCGTTTTCGGATTTTAGTTTATTTAATATTCCTTTTATTCCTTGAAGAGATTTCGCTGAATTTGCTAGCTCGATCATATCAGAATAAGCTGAATAATTATTCTGACAAAGATGTGCACGTTACATTAAAACTTTAATGCGTGTTATATTTTAATAAACAAAAAAATAATATTTAATTTTTGCTTCTCCTTCACCCTCGAGTTTCCTTCCAAATCAGAGATTAGCATGACAAACAAGCAATCTATATACACTTATGAAATTTTCTGTACCATATAATTATGCTGAAGAGAGAGATTGAAGGATATGCTAAATGGAGTATATTTCTAATTTTCTATGTAGACACACAAATATTTTGTTCAAATTAACTTTGCCTTTTCGAATTTCTATATCACCTAATGGTAGGTTATTCTAATTTTTTTTTTCTTGACAGCATTTTTAATTAACTGTAAAATTTAAACGTACTGCACCTGCAGAATGTGTTCCTAGATTCATAGTTTTTTTAGCAATTTAGCACATAAAATGACATCTAATCAAATGCTCCCTCAATTTAAAAATGTATGCCATAATTTTTAATTAAATTTTATCTCCCAATAAAGCAATTAATCATCTTCAAATTAGTATCATCTTTTCATATTTACTTATATTTAATAAGGTATTTTACTTTAAAAATATATATAAAATAATTTATTTATTATGAGCACTTTTGGAGAAAACACAAATTAATTACACTTTAAACTACTATAAATAGTGCCTTATATTTTTTAGCATACAACCTCTCAAAAAATGTCTTATATTTGAATGGAGGGAGTAAAAAATGGAATTAAAATGTAATTATAAAGATAAAAAAATAACTTGTATTTGTATTTTAAAAAATAATAAAAATTGTTGAGTGGTGGTGGTGGTCGTTGTCGTCGTTGCAGCAGTAGCAACAGTAGCAGTAATTTGGTGATTGATTGAGGTAAAAATTGAAATATGATTGACCATAATATAAAGCATTAAGCAATTGATTGAGGTAAAAATTGAAATATGGTTGACCATAATATAAAGCATTAAATTAACTTGTTTAACTTTTTAAATGTTGTATGTTAAAGGGTATGATAATTGATGGAGCTTCAATTCTGATCTTCATGTCATGAAATATACAGATAGCCTGGTAAAATAAACTTATAAACCCTAGAATGAGTCTTGATCTCTGCTGTGTTTCTAAATTGATTCAATTAACACTTAATTATTATGAGAGTCATCAACAACTACAAGCTATCCAAATGTACGTTTAATTTAACTAATCTTGAAGGGGTAAGCAGCAGAAAATTCCGAGTTCGAAAGCGATACTAGCTAGGACAAACACATTAAGTAATTAACTAATTAATCCCATATATATATTATATGGGTTCAAATCGCTGGGATTAAAATAATATTTTTGACTCGTTATTTTGTTTTGCAGACGGACAAACGTTAATCTTTATCTTTCAGAATGCTTCTGGAAAGCCCATTGGATCAAATATTTATTCAACTATTAATAATATATTCTAAATACACGCAATCATATGGAGATTAAAGCTACCAAACTCTCTGACTATATATAACTGGATGTATCAATCCATAAATCCTGCGTCCTTGCCTCTGGAGAGAACACAAACACAGATTCAGATATTTGTTCTTTCGAATATATGCACTCTTAGCTTTTTTTCTCACACACAGACACACATATAGTCTCAGATTCATGCAAGGTTTTTCTTGTCTTTAATATCTTCTCGATCATCCTCAAAGATGAAAGCTTTTCTGGTGTTTTCACTTTTTGCCCTGCTAGCTTCCTCCTTCGCAACTGCTGCTATAGTGGAACATTCCTTCATTGTAAGTTATACTGTTGTTATCATCTTTTGTGCTGTAAGATATCTGAAAAGCATTTGGGAGTGAAATTTTGAATCTTATTATCCATATAATTGGGGAAAACACAATTTTTTATCTTGAACTTTTTCTCAATTATAAATGCAGTTCCTGATTTCTTAACTTGGAACAACTTAGTCAATGTAGATTCTTGTTCCATACAACTCAGTCACTATGATTCTTTAAATCAATTATACCGCAATAACTGTGCCAAAAATCAGGGACTAATAAATCGATAATTTATAGAAAGATTAGGATCTAAAGTTATATTGTTCTATATAATTATTGTATACTTAGGTTTGATATGATTGCAGGTGAGGGATTTCAACGTGACTCGTCTGTGCAATACACAAATTATAACTGCAGTTAATGGAATGGTTCCTGGACCCACAATTGGCGTACGAGAGAATGACACTCTGGTCGTTCACGTATTCAACGGTTCTCCTCACAACATCACTCTTCATTGGTAATTTTTTATTCATCAAGTGATTTCATTTCAATACTTTAAATTAAATAGTTTTTTAACAATATATTATATAATACGTACTAGCAATTTAGTTATTTATCTAACAAAAACCGACAAAATTGTTGAGCTCATCGAATAATTATAAATCATATATATAATTGGTCGTTGGCCACGCATATCATGCAATGTCCATTTGTGTCGTCAAGAGACCAATAAAGATTTGTTGAACAATTCACAACTATTTTTTGCCAGATTCGAAAGCAAACAAGAGCTTGTGTTTACATTGACAAATAGTATTTCCATAAATTTTCTCTTCTAAAACGCGTGAATCCTCCAAGCTGGAATATAATTATATAAAAAATAAAGATTAATTAAATTGATTGAATATGACAAGTGACAACCATTTTTTTCAAAATACAAATGGTCAGTATTTGTTTACTAATGAAGTATAACTGGATTATATGTAAATGTAAATGCAGGCATGGGGTTTTTCAAATAAGCAGCCAATGGGCAGATGGTCCCGAATATATAACACAGTGTCCTATTCGACCAGGTCAATGGTATACTTATAAGTTCACAATCATAGGACAAGAAGGTACTCTGTGGTGGCATGCTCATGCTGCTTTTCTTCGTACTTATGCTTATGGTGCTCTTATCATTCGACCTCGAATTGGTTGCCTTTATCCTTTTCCTAAACCTTACAAGGAAGTCCCCATTCTGTTAGGTATTTTTTTACTGTATTATCTCTTTGATTTATTTTCTTTTTTAATACAAGTGCAGGCATTTTTTACAAAAGAAATAAAAAATACCTTTGGTAATTTCAGGCGAGTGGTGGAAATCTGACATTAACAGAATTTTTGACGAAATTCAAGTTACCGGTGACCTTGTTCCTATTTCCGATGCTTTCACCATCAACGGCATGCCTGGTGATCTCTATAATTGCCCTCAAGATCGTACGTCATCTTCCTTAATTACCAACATCTTTTTATCTTTTGATTCTAGTAAAATGTTTAAGTGTAAGTAAACTTGAACTGATATAAGAAGTCCTATATTAAATAAAATTGGGTTAATACCTAACACAAAATAATAAACTTAAGCTTTGGAAAACACTGGGCAGTCATTTCTCATTTCTAACAGATTCATTAATTTCCAAGTTTTCAGTCTGCTGTCTCACTATATATAGTTTCTTACGTGAATACACATGCATGCTCATGTAATACAGCTACTTTCAAGTTGAAGGTGAAGCAAGGGAAGACATACTTGTTACGCATAATCAATGCTAATCTCATCAATCAAATGTTCTTCAAGTTAGCCAATCACAAGTTCACAGTTGTCGCGGTGGATGCCGGATACACGACTCCCTATGTCACTGATGTCGTCGTCATCGCCCCCGGCCAAACCACCGACGTCCTCCTGACAGCTGACCAGCCGGTTGGTTCTTACTACATGGCATCTTCCGCGTACGTGACCACTGTAGTGATAGCGTTCGACAATACGACAACCAGAGGGCTTGTCGTTTACAAGGGGGCCTCCCGTGCAAGCCCTCCTCTGATGCCGGCATTACCCGCCTTCAACGACACCACCACAGCCCACAGGTTCTACACAAATCTCACTGGGCTCGCCGGTGGGCCTCAATGGGTCGATTGTCCACTCCAAGTGGACGAACACATGTTCATAACTTTGGGGCTGAACTTAGACTTTTGCTCAAACAACGCCACGTGTGCGGGCCCACTAGGGTTTAGATTCTCTTCGAGCATGAACAACGAGTCGTTCGTGACTCCGAGCAACAAGGGATTGTCCATGTTGGAAGCATTCTTCAGAAACAAGCCAGAAGAAGTGTACACAAGAGATTTCCCTGACTTTCCTCCAGTATTTTTTGACTTCGTCAGCCCAAACATAAGCTTTGACCTGTCGAAGATATTCGCGCCGAAATCAACAAAGGTGAAGACGTTAAAGTTCGATTCGACGGTGGAGATTGTGCTTCAAAACACAGCATTTCTGGGGATAGAGAACCACCCAATGCACATTCATGGGTTCGATTTCTACGTACTGGCTCAAGGTTTTGGGGTGTTCAATGCGATGAGAGATAGCGGAAAGTTCAATGTCGTGAATCCTCAAAGGCGTAACACGATCGCCGTGCCGACGGGAGGTTGGGCTGTGATCAGATTCAAAGCGAACAATCCAGGTGATTTTCATTTCTTGAGACTCAATTTAAACGAAAATGAAGGCTAGTTAGATTGTGAATGATTGATAAAATGATGGCAATGGTGGTGATCGATGCCTTTGCAGGTATATGGTTTATGCACTGCCACATAGATGCTCACTTGCCGTGGGGGCTAGCGACAGCATTTGAGGTGGAGAACGGACCCACGCCGGAAACCAGCGTGCCTCCTCCTCCGGCTGATCTCCCGATGTGCTAACTCGTCGTCGTCATCTTCTGCTCTCAAATTACCAGAAAGACGAGACGACGACCTGTCGCGAAGTTTATATCTTCTTTAATTACATTTGTTGTTCGAATAAGTGAAGGGCATTATGGTGATTGGCCATAAATTTAAATTGTGAATTTGTAATTCAGCCCTTCGGTCTTTTCATGATATTTCAGATTGCATTGATCTGTTTATGAAAAAAAAGTACTTTTGGGCTCATTCAGTGATATTCTCCCTTTTTTAAATTGTATTCTTGCATTTTCAAAAAAAGGACAATTTATGTCTATCCATGAGGTCCAATTTTCCAATCAAACTAAGCACAAGGATTTTTTTTTTAATGATAAAATTCACGCAGATAAGATTTCTGAATTCTGCAATACAATATTCATAATAGAATCACATATGGCAAGATTTGATTGGAAATTAGACCTCCATTAAAAATATATATGGACCCAGTTTTGTCCTTGTTAAGTTGCTGAATATGATTCATATGGAATCTATCATTGAGAAAAGATTTAGCTGTAAATCCAATGACATGAGTAATCTTCAACTAACTTCATCAAAGGCAACTGCAGAGTATTTATAGTTCTGTTATAACGACAGAACTTACAAAATAAATGACACTTAAATTATTAAACTAAATATATCTATTTAACTCAAATTAATTCTATTTCTTATTTTCTACAGTCCTTCCAAAAAAATAAGTGCTATTTTTAGTTCTAGTGCCGCATCAGTGTGGATAAGTGGGCGTTTGCTTTTTCTGATCCAAAAGGTTGTCCCATATTTTAATTTGATTTTAATTTTTTATAAGACATCCTTCTTGAATGTACAGTAAAAAATATGACCTTCCCTTGAAATGTATATTTTAAAATTTAAAAATAGATGTCATTAGTCAAACGAATAGAAAACTTGCGTAATTTACTCTAAAAGAGAAATATAAGTTGATAATAGTATATAAAATAAATCAATGGTTCTAATTTCACAAAAAAAGCACTAAACAAGTTATTTTTGAAAAATGCTGAGTAAGCAAATGGCAATTAAGTTGCTCGTGCTTGATTTTATTTCAAAAGATGATTGTTCTCCTTTATGGACACTATAGGACCCACTAATTTATAATACACAACCCAATTGCTTTCAGAGTTCATTTAAATCAGGCCTAATTATATGGCCCAAATTTTGAACTCAACCACTGATACCCTAAATGCTTGCTCTAATGGTTTTCCACTTTCAATGTGGCTACACTGGTTTTTGTTTTTGTTTTTGTTTTTTTTTTTCTGGGAAAAGAATCAGGTCGTTGGTTTCCCTAAGACAAAAGACTAATGGAATAGGAGACTAATGACTTGGGCTGGGCTGGTCAAAACAAAATTAACATGGGCTGGCCTTATTCCTGATGCACAAAATGAATCTTTGAGAGAACCTTTATGTTTTTGGTTTTTGGTAAAGAGACTCTTCCTATTTAAATATGACAAAAGTTACCCATTTGATTCAGTTGCCAAAAGAGTTGTATCAGTCCAACTAATGATCTTAAATTTGAGTTCTAAAAATATAGGAAGATTTGAAGTAGAGCTTCCACTCAAAAGAATCTCAACCCAACTTAATCTAAATTAGTCAGATCTTTAATTTCAGCTACCAGATAGTTTACTACAAAAAAATATGATGAAAGTTCGAGTCTTAATAATAGTTTGAGAAACTTGGTAAAAGGTTTTGTGCCTTGTGACAGTCATGTGCCAAAAAGGCAAAAACTGATCAATCAAAGAGTGAGTTTCAATTCATAGGATACACACACACACATATATATATTGTACAACTTTTTCTTTGGGATATAAAGCTCAAAGTTTACAATTCAGGCAACATCGCCCGCATAAAGATCTTTGGGATTATTCATCTTCATATCATGTGTGTTGTGAGTGCAATATGGCTGCAGATTTTCTTGCTAAGCCTGGAATGGCTGTAACTCCTGAGCTTCATGCTATCTTCCAACCTTCGAATGACCTTTAGGATATCTTAGAGCATGATTGGTTGTTTCTGGCTAATATGGTTCTTATGTAAGTAGCTTTGTCTGCCCCCTTGTTATAAAAAAAAAAAATCCTTGTTATCAAAAAAGGAAAAAAAAATCATTTTACATCCTTTATACCTATATACTTACTTGTTATAATTATAAAAAAACCAAATAATGAGATCCATTTACCATATAAAACTAAAAAAATGAACTATATAAATTGAGTGCCTTCAAGACTTGACTAACCAAGCAACCACTGATGATATATGAAATTATTTTTATGACCACACAAAATCCGAACTACTAAAGGTGCAAATTCAGACCTTATTTGAAATTATTTTTATTTTATTATTTTGAGAGCTGATGTTTTATAAAATATGTTTTGAAAACAAAAAAATAATAAAATTTTTCATTCTCCCTTATTCTCTAGAACATCTAAAAGTTATTTTTATTTTTTCATTTTTTAAAATAATATTTTTTTTGTTTTAGAAAAATACTTTTTAAAAATATGTTATTAAATAAATTTTTTTGTTCTGAAGAACAGAAAACTGTTTTTAGAACAGGTTACTAAATAAGCCCTTAATATCTGTCTTATTTTTTGCAATTTTCTTTATCCTTTTTTAACTAGAAAGATAGGCTGATATATAAATGTGTGTGCGATGAAGCATGAGTAGGAAATATTGTAGAGATGCCTTGAACATACAATCGTTACTATGTTGAATATTTTCAATGTATTAGTTAACATTGACAAATTTCACCATAATTAGTGGCAATCATTTTGGAGTAGCTATGTCACCATATTCAGTCTTCCTTGTGCTTGGCTCAACCAAGCAATGGGGATTGGAGAGGGGAGGGTCAAAGACAATTTAGAAATTTAATAATATTATCACAAGGATAATAAAATATAAAATTATTTTAATTAAGAGTCCCTCGTCTCCATATCTCAAAAACCCTAATTAAGCGTAAGTTATAATGATTATTTTAAACTTACTCTTGAGTATCTTCATGTACTAAAAGCCAACACGCCTGAGTTCCTAAAAGAACTGAAGGGTATTTATGAATTAATTAAATCCCGAAAAGCAATGAAATTTAATTTGTTACTTTGATGTTTCATTTTTTTTTTGAGCTTTTTTTCTAAGTGCTAACACACACACAAACAATCAAAATTTTGAATTTATTCTACATCTAAATTAGGAAAGTTAGGTCCAACCCAACTTACAAATCTATGTCATGCTTAGCCTTCATGCATATGTGTGCATCTGTTACGCCTTTCAGAGTAAAACACAAATTCAAGGCGAAAACACAATTATTGGTTAATTATATGTTAATCACTTTAATTAATCCATTAGTCAAAAAAGGTTTTCTGAAGTTTCTTTGCACACGCGTAAACGTAATTATAACAGCCTCCATAGGATATTGGCTAGCATCAGAACTCAGAAGAACGTGTTGAACTTTTTTTTTTTTAAATAATATTAATTAGTACTCTATTCGTTCAAAAATATAAGGCATTTTTTTTTGAAGAATTTAATGTTAAGAAATGTAAAATATTTTTAGTCTTTTAAGGTATAATCATTACTTTTTTTTAAAGTACCCCTATTAAAAATGACTTTACATTTATTATAGAGTGTTTAATTGGGATAAATATATAAAGATAGGATTAGTTAAAAAGTAGGTAATAACTTTATTGGAGGGTGAAATTCAATTAAAAATACCTTATATTTTTTAACAAAAAAAAAGTAATTAAGAAGTTTGAATATATGAACTTCCATACAAAATGAATACTTACAACCACACTTTACATGTTTCTTTCATACTTTTGGACTTTCTTAGTGCATGTTTGATAAGTCTCTACGGATTAAATTGATAATTTTTAACTTGATTATTATTTTTCAAATGATCGACTAAATATTTTATAAATTTATAATGATGAGAATGAAAGAATAAATAAATGATATGATCTGACTTAAAAATTAATTAATTGTATATTTCTCAGCAAAATTTTATATTTCTAAAGTCGTCATCAGATGTTTCACCGGAGGAAAAATCGTCGTCGTCGGATGCATCAATTTCTATTTTTTTTAATAAAAGAACGTAATTTAATTAATTCATTCATTAATGTATCACTACAAACCTGACAACAAGAATATTCTAATGTTTAGCCAAAATTAATTAATTACGTGATGATGAGTTGGATTTGTCTTTGTTTATGAAGACCATAGTGACGTAATAATACCTTTTTTATACAATTATTCATTGTTCATGAACTTATAAGCTGGATAGAATCACCTTGGTAATAAAACCCTGTCAACAAGTACTTAACAATGATATAATAATATTCTAATGTTTAGCCATAAATAAATATATTGAAGAAGTTAATTGCCTTAAATATATTACAAAAATTGTTTTATGGGGTATGTATGGATAATGTGGTTTAATTATCAAAATTTATATAATATATAAAAATAGACCTAATTTTAAAATATCGAAAGACATGAATGTAAGAAATATATAATTTAAATTAATATAAATATGTTAATAGAGGCGATGTGCATGTTAAACCTTTTTTAATTATTATTCTATCTCTCGGCCTGTATCTTAAAATTCTGAAAGTATTATTATTTCTCGTTGAAATTAATCTAAACCCCCTATATGTTAGTCCTAGCGAAAGCAATTATAATAGCTTAATAAATATGAGATTTTGGGTTAAGTTCGAATGCAACAAACATTTTTAAGAATTGTCTGTATTAAAATTTTAAAGCAAATTAAAATTAAAATTAGTATTCACTGACTTGTTTGAAATAAGCAAATTAATAAAATTCAAAGCTATTGCCAACGCGCGTAATGCATGTGCCGTATCACCGCAAAATATATTATGGCATAATTAATGGTGTTGATGTTATTTGCTTTCATCAGATGAATTATTTTAGAGTAAAGCACTCTGCGCTTCTTCTTTGTTTTTTTTTATATCATCTTTTTATTTTTAAAATCTATAATAGTTATAAAATATAAATATTTTTTATTTTTAAAATTTTATTTATATTCATCCAACCGTTAATTGATTATTAAATCATATATATTGAATCAAAATATCTCTCTTTAAATATAAGTATTGTCCAAAAATTATTAAATTACTCAAAAAAAAATTAATGCAGACACTTTTTACTTTTTTTTACTTGCATTTTTAATTTTTAATTATGTAAATATACTTATTTAGTAATTT